AACGCAAGCTCCTCGTTATATCCGACTCCAGCGCTAGCGGCGCCCCCTAATACAGGGCGCCTTAGACGGTCGCCCCACCTCGTCCTATCCTCACGCCTTTACTTAGTGCCCACAAAGAGTAGGCTAACGACAAGTGGAAAGAAAAGTAAAATATATGGAGTTGTTTCTTCCTTAACAAATGTTTATTTTTAGTTCACACGTTATTGACAGATGAGATTTAACACTATTGAAACAATCATTTCGATCCTTTTGCTATTCGTATACTTTACAATTAAATCAACTTATATCCATTGTTCTGAACTCATAAAGATCGGCAACGATAACCCATCTCTAACCACTAGTGACGTGCTGCGCTGTACCGTAGGTTATCGATAATCCATCTTTATTATCGACTTACCAGTAGGTTCACCTGACCCACGGCTCGTGGAATTTATCGCACGGCATTTATGTAAGCTTTATGAGTAACGAAATTTACATATCTCTGTAACTCTGAATATATTGGCGATTGTAAATTTTACAATGTATGCAATTCAAATTTTGATTTATACTTACTTACTAATAAAGTACCTACAGTACAGTTTAGTAATATATTGTAGCTTTTGTAATCTTCTACCTTTTAATAGATAGAATAGAAATGACATAGAGTTAATTAAGATCCCATAATTTGATTTAAAATCAGTTGAAATGCATGATTTTTTGTAGATAAAACAAAAAAAAACTTCCGGTAGCTGTTGCATTTTAAAAAAACGTTTCTACTGTAAATCTACCTTTGAAATAAATAACAAATGATCCTAAATTAAAGACCAAGAACTTCAATTAACGTATATCCGAATTTAATTAATAAGAAATTCTTATCCTTAAAATCTTCTATCGATAATTATCGAACTATTTTATCGATAACTAAATTGAATTAATCAATCACTATGCTTTATCTTTGATTCTCACTTTACCCGTTTTATGGACCAATGTTCTAAGCAGGACCACAGCTATTATTGGAAATGGGGTCTAATAGTTTTGCGATAAGATAACCAAAGTCTGCTGTTATATTTTGACGGAAACAACACTGGCTTAATTGGATTAAATAGTTTAAATACAAAGCTTTAAAATCATTGGCATTTGTTTATAATTCCACATTTGATATACACCTGTTAGATTCATAGAGAAACTTTAATTAATTTTAACAATATTATTGTTATGAACTGTCAAAGTTCCCGCTCTTTTCGCACTCAAGCAAAATGGCGCACGCAATATTGTATTTTTAAATGACATGAATTGATAAAAAATCCATTAGGGTTGTACAAAATTACGTTATAAAACGAACGAATAAATAACTTTATAGTTTAAATAAAGATCTTATTAATTTTACTTCAAAACGCCTGAGGCCGAGAACTATGCGGCCCTTGTAAAGAAATTATACTGTCTAATGGTAAGGCTGCCTACACACAATCTTAAATTAAAGTTTTTACAAATGTATCGCTTAGTTAGTTTAAGTTACCAGCTTATAAATAAATTATTTCATTAGTGAACTGCGAAATTGTTTCTTTCTCGACTAAACTAAAGTCGAATTAATTTAATACCTGGTACTCATTATATTTAAGTGGTTATATCCGTTAGGTTAACTTAATTATTAAAGTAAAGAACAGCTGTTATCATAAACATATTTACCGTGAATTTCTGACACTTAAATTTTCGTTTGAAACATATTGATATCTTTGTCAAAGAGCACAGAAATGACATGTTTAAACAGAGATTTTAATCTAAGAAACCCACGGTTAGTTGTTCAGTAAAAAATTGTATGAATTTTTAGTCTGTGGCGTGCTATAGCGACATCTAGCGGCTGATAATGAATTTGCACTTTGCAACTAATGTCACCCGTAAGGTAGCGCTATGGGTGGTAGAGTCCGTTTCAATATATTCCCTTCAGATACTAATGTCGAACTAGCTCCCGACTGTATAAATACTATAATATTTGTCGCCACAAAATTGCAAACATCGACTTTTTAAAATCTGACTAATGAAAAAAGTATTTATAATTTTACAAACTTATTCTTAAGACTTTAAATAAAACCGAAGTCGAAAAAAAAGTCAAATTGCATCATCAGCTTACTATAGTCCACACTGAGGGGTTCGGAGCCTAACCTAAGTTAGGGGTTACTAGGCCATAGTCAACCACGCTGACCAAGTGCGGGTTGGTTGACTTCACACATACCTTTTTATCTCTTCACAGATATGTGCAGGTTACATCACGATGTTTTCTTTCACCGTAAGAACATCGGATAAATGTCGAAAAAACAAAGGTACACGGCGTGATTCGAACCCAGGAACTGCAGATTACTAGCCAAGTGCGTAACCTCTGAGCCACCCAATCACTTAAGAAATAAAATGATAAAATTTGAATTAAAATTTTTCGCCAATCTAGAAAGACCATAAAATACCGATTTCAACATATTCACGGTGACATATTGACGCTGAGACAGCGAAGTGATGTGAAAAAGAACAATGTTAATTCTGTAACACTATACAGATTTAGAATTATTGTGTGCGCCGAGTAACATAATATGTGTATGTAAAATAAAAAGTTACTTAACTTTATGACTCGCCGTTTAAAAATGTATGCGTTTACTTGATCCATGAACTCTTTGTTACCTTGTTGTATTATTTATTTGTTATTAGACTAAATCATTGTGATTATTTAGTTAATACTTAGTTTACTTACAAACTTTCAATTGTGTTTCTTGCTTATTTTAGAATACAGTCTTTTAACAACGGGGATAAGTTAAACATAAAATTCGACGTTTAAGTTATGTTAGCAACGATTTATCTAATTAATAGGTTATTAAATCAATAAGTCAAGGTTGCGAGAGCGTCCTGGATGCAGGTAGCACAGGACCGGTCATCGTGGCGATCTTTGGAAGAGGCCTATGCCCAGCAATGGGGGAATCATGGCTGACAAGAAGAAATCAATAATCTTACTAATATTGTATGGATGGGTATCTACCCAAACATCTGTTTGTTCTAAGCAATCTCCAGAACTGAATGAATTAATGATTATCTCTGAAATTTGACATTGATGTAAAACATAGTCTGGAAAACACATAGGGTACTAATTAAGTTCCTTTAATTCCGCGCGGACAGAATCGCGGGCGACAGCTATATAAAATTAGATTAGATTTCGATAGTTATTCTTTATTTAGAATTACATAAATGTTTTAATTTAAATAAAGTTATAAACTAAACTATCGCATGAACGAATTGAGCATGAATCAAACCGCTGGCCAACCGCGTGGGCCGAACTTGAAGCCGACTTATTTCATAAATCGATCCACTGGTTAACGCGATGCTTCCGATATTACAAATTATTGACGTCATAAATAGGGCTGCCAATAAAACCGAAAAATGACGACACTATAAACGAAATTCAATTGTTTTACATGACTATAAAAAAAGACCCATTAGCTCAACTCTTTAACTAAGAACTCCTTAGAATCAGTGGCAGTAGAAATAGAATTAATTTTTAATATTAGAAGATTATTTTAATTCACTAATCCTCACTCCATCACTCTCCAAA